TCCAGTTCAAGCAAATGTCCACCATTTTCTCCTTTCCCGTTGTCCTATCATTTAACTTAATTTCTCATTCTTAATACTCAAAAACATTTCTGAACTTAACAAGAGTCAGTATAAAAAATGGTTAAGAGAAAAAAAAGAGTTTAAAGTGCAGTTCTGTTACTTACTGTGTGATCTCAAGCAAGTTACTTAATGATCAGTGTCTCAGTATCTCTCCCATTTCCTCTTAAATCAAATTTATTGAGCTATAATTTACATAAAATAAAATACAGTGCTGGTCATGGTAGCTCACGCCTGTATTCTCAGCACTTTGGGAGGACCAGGCAGGAAGATCACTTGAGCCCAGGAGTTCAAGACCAGCCTGGGAAACATGGCAAAACCCAGTCTCCACAAAAAACACAAAAATTAGCCAGATGTGGTGGCACACATATGTAGTCCCAGGTACTTGGTTGGCTGAGGTAGGAGGAACACCTGAGCCTTGGAGGTCTCCTTGGGAAGTCAAGGTTACACTGAGCAATGATCATGCCACTGCACGTTAGCTTGGGTGACAGAGCACAAAACCCTGTCTCAAAAATAAATAAAATATGCCTATTTTAAGTGAATAATTAGATGATTTTGAAGTATATACATCCATTTTAATCACCACCACAATCAAGGACTTTCTCAAGTCTCTATTCAGTTCCATTATTCTTTATATCTATATCTACATCAATACCACACTTTCTTAATTAGTATAGCTTTAAAGTCTTCAAAATATGTAGGACAAATCCTTTAACTATGTTTTTCCTTTGAAAGATTATTTTGGTTATTCTAGGTCCTTTTTGTTTTCATATATATTTTAAAATAAGTTGATTTATTTCCCCAAAATTTGTCTGCAATTATAACAGGGTCTGAGTTCACTCTGTAGCTCAATTTGGGGAGAATTGGCATCTTAACAATATTACAGATTCTTCCAAGCAATGAACATGGATTTAGTCTACTTTAACTTCTCTCAGCAATAGTTTGTCAGTTTTCAGAGCTTAGGTATTGCACATGTTTTGTTAAATTTATTCTCATGTATTTAAAGATTTTGGTGCTATTTTAAAGTAAATTATCTGTACTTATGTATCTACGTTTTTGTTTTACAATTGTGCACTGGTAACAGTTGACTTTTTTTTTTTTTTAAAGACGAAGTCTTGCTTTGTTGCCCAGGTTGTAGTGCAGTGGTGTGATCTCAGCTCATTGCAACCTCCACCTCCCGGGTTCAAGCAATTCTCCTGCCTCAGCCTCCCAATTAGCTGGGATTACAGACACACATCACCACACCTGGCTAATTTCTGTATTTTTACTAGAGATGGGATTTCACCATGTTGACTAGGCTGCTCTCAATCTCCTGACCTCATGATCCACTCACCTCAGCCTCGCAAGGTGCTGGGATTACAGGTGTGAGCCACCGTGCATGGCACAATTGACTTCTTTGGTAGATTTACTTGTATTTTTTGATATTGCTAAATGTACTTGTTAGTTTTGATACATTTTTATTTTTAATATCCCTTAGTATGTTCTATATACAACCAATTTTTCTTATCATTTTGCAGTTGCTGCAGTTCCAGTACAAGGTTGAATGAAACAGGTAAGAATAGACCAGGTTTATTTTTATGAAAGGGTATTGAGTTTTTCATATATGTTTTCTACAATTAAGATGATAATGTAACTTTTGTTTTTGATTTGTTGATATGGTAAATTATATTGTTTGCCTTTGTTCATATTTACTCAAAGTTCAATTCCTGGGTTAGAGCCCTCTTGGTCACAATATATTATTCTTTTTATATACTGCTGGATTTTTTGTTTTGTTTTGTTTTTTTGCAGTGTTCTGTTAAGGACTTTTGTGTTTTAGTTAATGAAAGATGTTTGTTCATCCTTTACGTTTTTGTGATATCTTTCCCTGATTTTGGTATCAAGGTAATTCTGGCTTCATAAAATTAGCTGAACAGTGTTTCTTCTCACTCTATTTGCTAAAAGGACTTATTATATTTTTGGTGTCAATTGGTACATTTTATCCTTAAGTATTGAATTGGCAGGTATAGTTCTCTGGACCTAGAGTGTTGTGTTTTGTTTGTGGACAGGTTTTTTATTGTGATATCAATATCCCTAATAGACATTTGACTATTTTGATTTCTTCTTGTACCAGTTATTATCTGTGTGTTATGGTTTATCTCCACCAAACTCATGTGAAATTTGATCCCCAATGGGTTGAAAGGCGAGGCTTAAGGGGAGAGGTTTTGGTTCTGGGACTAGATCTGTTATCAGTGACTTGGTGCTGTTCTCTCCATAGTGAATGAGTCTTGCTTTCATGAGACTGGGTTAGTTCTCAAAGGAATAGAGTAGTTCTTAAGAGACTGGGTGGTTATAAAGCCAGGGCGTCCCTCAGGTTTGCCTCTGTTGGCATGTGTCTACCTCCCATTTGACCTTGTTCACCATATTGTGAGGCAGTGCAAAAGCCCTCACTGGAAGCCAGGGTCATGTCCTTGAACTTCTCAGCCTTCAGAACCTTGAGCTAAATAAACCTCTTTTTTATAAATTACCCAGTCTCAAATATTCTTTTATAGCAACACAAAATAGACTAAGACAATGTGTGAATTTGTTTCTCAATTCATAAGTGAATTGAGGTTATAATAATAATATACTGCTCATAAAGCTGTTGTGAAGATCACATGAGTTCATACATTATAAAAACTTAAAGGAAGATAGGCCATAGGGTAAACACACCCATGGGCAAATGTTAGCTATTAAAATACAACACTTATTATCACAGACTGAAGTGAGAGAAAGCTATACAGCATAGCTTATTATTCTAGTTAGATCCTGAGAAGTAATAAGTGTAACAAAAACAAGAAGCTATTTAAAATCTATTGAGCTTGTGATATGTCCCTGGCTCAACAACAAATTGGCTTTCTAATAATCCCAATGGAATGTCAATGAAAATTAAATTGTTAGAGACATTTTAAATAAATAAATTAAAAGTTTGAAGGTCCGGAATATGTAGAAATTTAATATGCCCTTTATATTTCCTGTTCTTAATTTAGAAAGATACATATTGCCAAACCGTGGAGTTTCACACATATTAGGACTTTGGACAAGGAATTATATACTAAATGCTAAAGAACAGTATTTTTTATGAACAGTAAGAATGTTTGGGTTACTAACAGAAAGGCATGTCAAAGTGACTTAAAAAGTGATGGAACAGATTTGTGCACACAACTAGAAGTTGAGTTCCTGTTGGCTCTAAAGTTGTTTAATCCAAAAGTGCATTGATTTCTTCAAACATCTAGTTTCTTTCTTTGTCTCCAAATTGTCATATTCATCTTAAAACTGGATCCTAACTCATTTCTTCATCAATGAACAATTTTCCCCCCATTCAGTTTCATTGGCCAAGTGTAAGAAAATACGCTGTTCTTGAGCCAGTGACTCTCAGCAAGTGTACATCATGCCCTAATTGGCTCAGGTGTGGGTTTATTAACCAATTACTTCCAGTATGATGCTATTACCATGATAGGCTTAGACTCAACAAGGTCTGCTGCCCAACATGAAATCAATTCCCTAAATTATATTGTACTTCGCAATGGAATAAAGGTGGAATGGATGCTGTGATATCACTTACAATATCCATTAATCTTACGATGGCAGACACTATTATTTCCCCCATATTCCCTTGTTTTCTTCTTTTTAAGTAAAAGAATCTTCAGATTTTTAGTCATGTACATGGCGATTTCACATAGACACTCTATTTTCCAGTCTTCCAGTCTCATTTGCAGTAAGCTCTGGCCATATGGTTACTTTCTAGTCAAAGACACGTCATGTTCAGCTTCCAAGGTATGTCCTTAAATAGGGAACATATTGTCCTCATTCTTCTCTGCTCCTGAAGTTTGAATGTCAATTTAATGGCTAAAGCTTGAGTTATTGTCTTGGACTATGTTGTGAATGGTGGAGCAACAGGGAGCCTAGTGCCCGATAACATGGAGCTCACATCTAGCCCTGGAACACTTAGCTGCAGACTTCATTTTCATGAGGGATAGAAACAAAGTTATATTTTAGTCTAGCAACTATTTGCTTCAGGTGTTTGGCATTCATGGAAAAGTCTCATCCTAACTTATATGTAATTATTTTATTGAATACTGTTGCATACATTATATGATTGTGCTTTAAAAGTCTCATGGTTACAGTATACATTGATTAGGACCAATATTTGGGAGTGTGCATCTCAAAGCTCTGTATCCATAGTTTAGTAACCTCCTGTAGTTTTGTTAGCATGAAAACAACTTCTGACTCTCCTTATGGGAGATACCTGTAGGCCATTATCTGCTAAATCTTTCTTAAATATGTGATCTATATTAGCCTACATTATTTGTATATTAATACTTGCCAAAGCCACAACAAAACATGATGTTTATAAGTAGGATGATTTTCTGTTATCAAAACTGAATGATAGCTATAGGAAACCAGTGAGTACCATTAATTTACTCTGTTCAAGTCTTCGCACTTATGTTCTTTCAGACTCGTTCATCAATTTCACTTTAGTTTATCTCAGTTTCTATTTTTGGCACCTGTGAGCTATGGATGCTTCTTGTTTGTTTGCTCATCTCTCCCCAACCCTCCCTACTCAGTCCCTCAGGAATAGTGAGACTAGAGAAATTCATCTTCCCCTACCACGAAAACATTTATCTGGAGCCTAACATACCTGATCTTTATCTTCTAAAGTTAGAAAATTCAGTTACTTTGGTGACAACTTGGGGATGAGGTAGGTTCTCCAAGTTTAGCAGAGTAGAAAACTATCTAAAATACTTTTGTTCAGGGTGTCCAGACATTTAATAAAACATTTTTTACCCACAGAAAATGTGGTCCCTTAGAGGAGAGGCAAGGTCCTGAGCCAAACTTTATAATGTACGTTCCCAGGAGGGAGAGCGAGGGAAATTCAGTCCACCTCTCTGCCTGCCTGCTTGCCTGTCTGAGGAGTTGCAGTGCAGAGTATCATTGCAGCGCCTTTTCAGGGAGTAGCGTGCCGCACTGGTTCAGGGGCTTTGTCTTTATTCACAACACATTCATGTGCCTCAGCATGGGGGGAGCTGCACTGTTGCCTGCCAGCCTGTCCTCTTTGACTGCCGAATGAACCAAAGGATAACTCTCCATTCGTGAGAGAGAGTGAGCTACAGAGGAAGAAAGACCACGCAAAAAGGAGGGGGAGAGACGGGGGGAAAAGGATGTTCTCCGGCTCACTCCTACATTAGGTCTCTGTGCAAAGGCAGAGGCTGTGGGAGCAGCATCAAGCAAGCCTTCGGGCAGTGATTCTAACTATTGCCCATGAACACCGTAGCCAGGACGACTTTGACGAGGCAATTTATTACTTATGCATAGAACAGTAGCTGTGCTGAAACTGGGAGCACAGACACCCCCTTGTTTTCTAATTTAGAGACTTGCATCTTTTTGACACTCAACACTATCAAGACACTCTGCTACTACAGGTAAGATGCAGTTAAGATTTATCTATTTGTGACATCATTACACTTTAACACACTTTAAACTATGAATACTTTTTTATATTATGCCTGGTCTATGTTGAACTGCATTTTTCCCCTTCATATTAGTCTCTCTTCAAGTAAATAATTTCATTTAAAAAAACTGTCATTAAATGAAGGTACCACTACTAAATCTTTGCTAAGAGGAATCTACATAATTATATTTCCATGAGCTCTGAGTTCACAGTTAGGAACTTGAACTTAAACTGGGATCTGGGATGCATTTCATAATATGTATATATTTTTTAAATGTGCTGAATTATTCACTATTATTTGGATAAGCCAAAATTCTTCTCTTGCTACAGTACTGTGCTGTATATATGTTTAGTGGCTGTTTTTTGTTTTTTTTTTTAAACCTTATAGTTTGGGGAAACTAATGATGAGGCACATAACTTGTGGAGTTTGATCAAATCATTACCATGTGGGGTAATCTACTCAGTCAGAAAGATATGCTGCTCTAGCCTTTACTGAGAAGATGTTATCTTGTGTACATACATATATCATTAATAGGTAGCATGAACATGTGAAATATTTGTAAGACTAAGAGAAAATGCACGGATAATGGTAATTCACATGCTATATGATATCATTGAGTCTCAAGTTAGCTTTACATAAAAATTACAAAATTACCTTTGTGTTTATAACTGGTCTCCATCTTCATCTGTCAGTTTTTACAAAATAAAATTAGCTTTCATCTGAGGTCACTTGGAGTTGTTGATATGGCTGGGAAAACTGTAATCACAGAAACATATTAAGAATGTGTTGAAAGTCTGTAGAGAATATAGGAGTAATGTTATCAACAGGTTTGTGCAATTTTCCTCTTCTCTGTTTTGATAAGAGCATCTCACTTGAAACTTGGATTGCATTCTGCTGTCCCAGTCAGGGTCCCCATGACTTGGAAGTATAATTACATTGTTGTCTGTGATCAAAGCAAAAAGCTAGAAAGATTTAATAATAAAGTCTTCTTTCCTTGACATTTTAACTTAAATTTACTCAAACTAATATATGTATTTTTCTATCCATGTGTGTCTGAGATGTTCTTTCTATTAACCGTATTTTATATAAGAGCTGCTCCTATTTGAATTCCTACACACGAACTATTTAAATGCTGATAATTGGGCATCATTAGATTGACACTTGGGTAGCTAATGGCTTTAACTTTGAGGTACAATAAAATATGTAGCATAAGATTAAAGTAGCTCCTAGCAGAGTACATGTTTAACAGTGAGGTATTGTGAAAATAGAACCATTTGCATTTAAAAATACATAATTCATTGGAAGACTTGTGATTCTTGTTCTTGTGCTTGACTTATTTCATTTCCAATTTCACTTACAAAAGGTTTAAGTCCTTGGGGAATGTATGTAAAATATTCATTTGACTGAGGGTGTGAAAATTAAAGGAGGAATGAATTATTACTACAGTGACTTTTTTAGGACTTTTTGAAAGTTAGTAACTGGCATGAATGTAAAAAATTAGTTTGAGAATGTCTCTTAGGGTATACCAAAAAAAGCAAGAAAACGTTGATGTGAAATGTATGTCAATATGTGAAATTACTCAGAAGAAGAAAGTGAATGATAATAGAAAAGATAGAAGTTTTACAGTCTGTAAAAGGAGGAATATTTTCAGTAAACATGAACTCTATACTCTTCCTTTTATGACTGGCAGGAAAACAAGGTATCAAGAATAGTATTTCTCCAACATGAATGAAATCCCAGTGGTCATATATGAGGTGCAAAAATAAATGTTCTTTTTACTTAGTTACTAAATTTGAATATGCAATTACCGAAATTATATCTTGCATGAAAGATTTGTTGAAGTTATAAAGTTAGAAAAGTCACTGACAAAGTATTTCAAAGTTTATTAATATTCATATTTTTTATTCATATGATTTATATGTTTTCCTTTCTTCCTAAGGAATGCATATACTCAACACAGTGGTATATGTGCTTTGTTTTGAAACTTTTCAACATTAGTTTTAAAATTACTTACTAAAAATTGTTCAGACCAGTCATCTCATTTCTCCAAAAAGAGACATGTTCTAGATTTTCTTCTTGGATATACTACAAAAACACTAACTTTATATTTATGCACATTAAAGCAATATGCATTATTTAATGATTTATAAACATCCAGTATTATGTTTATTTCTCCAAATTCTCTATTTTTCCCACTGTCAGAACTTTACAAATGTCTGATAAGAGTAAATTCATTATTACTATAATTTTCAGGGTCTTGGAGTTGTAAACTATTTTAGACAGAATCTTTAAAAAATTATTGGAGTAGTCATCTGATTAATAATACTTTTAAGTACTTTTTCAACAATTGCCTGATATATTTTGTCAGGAATATGTCCCTGCTCTCAATTTCTTTAGAGCTTCAACTTTTCAACTAGAGAAAGTTTGGAAAACTTTTCTTTCAATGTCACTTTGTATTTCAAGTAGATCAGAAGTTGTAAGCTTATCCGGATCTTTAATAATGTCAGATTAGATAACACCGTTATTGTAACACTCTTTTTGACATTGTGGAGTTTTCATGTGATGTAGAAGGTATTAGCTAAGATGCAATTTGGTTAAGTTAGTTTTGAGGCTTTGGCTGATGTAACAAAAGTTAAAAACAAAATATTTCATTTCCCTGTTATCTGAGAGGGATACAAACTCTGTCCTCTGCAAGCATACTACATCAATTATTTATAATTTGTTGAAATAGATTTTGTTTTCATTGATGTGGCATTGGTCTACTGAAATGTTTCTTCTTGATTTTCAACAGGAATTTTATTTTTATATTTCTGGGGGTATGACATGAGTCTTTCATTGGAATCATGAACAGTTCCTTTGACAGTCTCAACAATATAAAAAAAAGACTGTAATCCCCAGTCCTTTTTCATGATGATATTAATATTGAAGCATGAATAGAAATAGCTACAACTAAAAATTCTGAAATAACAAGCAAGAATAAGTAATGAGAGACCTCCAGCTAGTTTTCTGGCTCAGTTACTTCACTTAAATATCTTCTTAGACTGTGGTGTGGATCCTGGAAATCAAAGCTTCTTGTTGATCTCAGTGACATAGAACTGGCAAGAAGCAGCTTCCTCATGCTGCCCGTAGGCACCAGTCAACACTGACCCTTAAGAAGAATTTTTTGGACTGAAATAATTGTTGTATTTTAAGTTATCTACAAATAAAATACAATAGCCTGTTCAAGTAAGTTAAGAATTATCATAATGGTAAAATGCTGATTGGCTGTTTTGAAAGCAGTTGCAGTATACATTTTAAAGGTCATATTTCAAAAGACTGAAATAGCCATAAACTTTCAAGGGTGAAACTATTTAATCTCTGTATTGTTTTTATAAAATCAATAATATTTCAATACACAATTACACAATCATCTTTAAAAATATAGTAATAGGTGTATCCTCCTTCAAGGAGTGCTGGGACAGTAATACCTGTTTATTCAATAAAATGCTAACTTGAAAAGTTTATTATTAGCTTAAGAAGTATTTTTCCCAGAAAGCTAGTCAAAATTGTTTTTAAAGAACAACTTTATTGAAATGCATTAAATACCATTAATTTTCTAAAAACATTGATTCACAACTAGTTAGAAATCTAACCACCAGGCAAAGTGAGGTTTATTTGCAACCACAATTACAGGAGTGTATGTGTGAACTTACAAATGGAAACAATCCTAATTTTAAAACATAACATCCGTTCATTTACTTTCCTAAAACCATGTAAATGCAAAATGGCAACACCGTCTTAGCTTATACGTTAGTTCTAATGTGATTATAATAGTAGGATACATAACAGCAAAGGAACATGCTCATATAGAGAAAGGTTAAATTGTTAATTTTGTAGTGTATGAAAAGTCAGAGATTAAAGAGTCTTCCCTTATGTGAACTTTCTTTATTAGATTAAAGGGTTCCTGACATTTCAGAAAAGTTCTGTTCAAATTAGCTTCCAGTGTTTTTTTTTAATCTGCACAGGCAAATATTACATGCTTTAAGGTTGCTCTTAGAAGGTAACAGCTTCCAATTAATTAGTTTCTGCTGACAGATAAATACAAATCATAGGGTACTAATAAAGAAGTTAATTCAATTCCTACAAGAGAAGACTAGGATCTATATCATCTTTTAAGTATTATTTTAAAAATACTAAACATTAGACAATTATATAAAGAAGGCAAATTTCTACTTGTGATTAAAAGAGATTATATTAACACCTCAAAAGAGAGTATGTAATTTTCAATGTGTTTAATAAACACAAAGTATGAATTCAGGTACTTTCAAATTGATATTATCTCAAAGATTCTTTTTTTGTAATATAAACATTAATTTTTCACAGATAATATTATAAGTTGTCCTATAATTCAGTTTGTTATTATTTTGTTCAAATAATAATCAGAATATTGTGTGAAGCAAAGGAAAGAAATACGACAAGTTTTTTAGTAAAACTGCTTGAGTCAAAAATACCATTTTTACAGCCCTATTTGCTGCAATAAATTCCAAGTCATATGTTAAGAATACATTTCTTATCATCTGGAGCACCTATAGGATGTCATCACCATATCTTCCCTTTAAAAACCGAGGTCTTCTAAATGATGATTCAGTTCCAACTGAAAACATGTGGTGAGTCCAGATGTTCAAACGCAATCACTCCCCAAAGGCTTACAGTTACAGGTTGATTCAAGAATGGCTATGTATAAATATACACATCAGAACCCTAATTTAAAATTAGAACACAGGCTGTGAAGTGCATAAAAATGGTAAGAGACCACAGTTGGCTGTGTAAATTCCTTGTTCAAATGAAAATGCATTCTCTGCCCCATCAATGTGGCACATCTGGTAGAGTCAATAAATTCTTACAAAAGTTTTAATATATATGTAAAAGAATAGATAATATGACAATATTATATGAATGAGAAGTATGGTTTGCTTAGTAACCTTATTTTA